TAGTATTAGTGTAATTATAATTGTAACCATTGATGAAAAATAAACGTATTCGATTTTGTAGCACGGATCTTTTACAAGATTAATTCGGATCAACTTTGATTCCTTTAGAAAATGTAGTTCAAGGAGCTATATATGGAGCAATTAAGAACAATTTATATCAACTTCTCAGAATTTAATAACTTCAACCCCATTAACAACTATTTATGATTTTATTTTCGAATTATACCCATTATCTCAAATTTTGAATCGAACTAATCCATTGACATAATAGTTTTTAAGGATAAAATTGAGTCATTTAAGACCTAGAAGATTGACAAGGCAAACCACTAGTTTTCGAATACGAGATACCCATCCTAGTCACTATGAACATATTTGCCCAATTGACACATCCGAAAAAATTAATATTGGACATATTGGATCCTTGGCAATTCATGCAAGGATTTGTCATTGGGGGTCTCTAGAAAGTCTTTTTTTATGAAATTTCGAAGAAATCACCCTGTAAAGATGAATACCATATGGTAATGATAAGAAATTGTTTGACCTTGAATAGCGGTATTCAAGAAATACTTGTATTAACATCAAGTACTTTTTATTTATTAGGTAATCGAGAATATCCTTTCTGCACCATTCATACTTGAGCCACTAATCAACATACATCTTTCTCTCCAGTAAATGAGACATCAAATAAAAGAGGTAAACTTAGAAGTTGCATTATTTGGATGTCCAACAATACCCTTTTTTTTTGGTTATCTCTCCTCCTAACAGTATTTTCGGGTTAATTACATGCAAGCCTCCTCGTGTTTACCTCTAAATTGCATGGACCTCTCTAAACTTGAAGAAAAATAAAATATATCACCACCATATTAGTAACCAAACTTGTGAAAATAAAATTAATTATGTTAGTGAACGGAGCAGCATACCCTACTTACCTATATTTAGTTAAAAGAAATCTAAATTCCATCCCACGATTATACAATCACCATCATCGCCGCACCCCCTACTCAGATTTCAAATTCATGCATAGGTTGAAGCAATTGTGGATAACACAGTCGAATTTTAACTATACGATTGATCATACGCTCTCTAATTTGGCAAAACTACACAACTTCAGCAGATCCAAATTTCGTAGGACCCATATCTATATATATAAAACAATTAAATAAGGTGAGAAGCGACTCGAAAAACTTTTTCTTTCACCTTTTTTTTAGAATTTTTAATTATTTATCACTTAATCAATTATGTTCTAACACATGTCTCGTACGACTACTTGTCTACTCCACTAATTAACTATACTCATTGAATTTTATTTTTTTTAAATGAACAACTAATTTAATTTTTTTAGAAAATATGGTTTTACCACCATAACTTTACATAATTATTTTATCACCCTATTTTTTTTAAAAAAATAATAAATTTTTATCCAACTTTTTAAATGGTATGGTGACAATAAAACCAAAAAAAAAAAAAGAAGCAAAAAGTGGACAGAGAAGGGGAGTTCAATTTTCGTGCGGCCAACGCTAGTATTCTATACGTTCCTCACCAGAGTCTATTAAAACAAAGGCTCCTGCGTTTTTCCCTCCATGGCGGAGAACTTATCGCAGGACCAACCATTTCTTTCTGAACAGCTTTCTTTTTCTTTTTTTTAACTTTCTTCCCCACATAAAATTCTCACTTCTCCTTCTTTTCCACACCCCTCCCTATTATACCTCCCATACCCAAAAGGAAAAAAGAAAAAAAAAAACAGAAATTATATTAGATCAGAAAAAAACCTCCCTCTTGTAACCTCCACCTTCCTTCCCCGATCGATGATGGCCACGACGTTGATGGAGTTTTTTCCGATCTATCGCTAAAACTAAATCAATGAGAACTGTCATTGCCAAACACAGGCGTCGTCGATCTGGGTAAAAATTGGAAGGAGCATTTTATCAAACAATGGAGGTGCAGAGAATGGAGGAGTTGTTGTTTTTATGGTCAAGATTGCAAAGTAACCGTGTTGCCCTTGTGGGTGGAAATCACACCGCTTCCAGGTTTTGCACACGCTAATCTCGTTTCCGATCACAGTCACTACCCTCTCCTCTTTCTTGCTCTTCTTGCTTTGTATGCAATCTTTTTTAATTGCTCATCCCTTCTTCTTCGATCTCCCTCCAACTCTCCAAAATTTCAAATCCTTTGTTCTTCGCTTACATATAACTGTTCAACATCGCTCTTTCTTTTCTTCTTTCTTGAAAAACTCATTTCATCTGATTGACATGGGGTGGTACAAAGCCATGGATTTTGTACATGATTTTCAAATGAGATATCACGAGAAGATCAAGAAACTGAATATGGGTGGCCTAGCCCTTGCCCTTGGCTTGAACTCGGAGACGAATTTCGTGATAATTAGGCTCCCTCATTCATGGGTGTTGAAATTGGTATCTAGGGCTGTACTGTTCGTGTTAGCTTTGGTTATTGTTTCTTTCTTCTGCCTCAATTCGNTAGCCCTTGCCCTTGGCTTGAACTCGGAGACGAATTTCGTGATAATTAGGCTCCCTCATTCATGGGTGTTGAAATTGGTATCTCGGGCTGTACTGTTCGTGTTAGCTTTGGTTATTGTTTCTTTCTTCTGCCTCAATTCGATAATCGGAGGTTTTACAGCTAATTTCCATGGAGCCAATTCTAATTCTGATCTTGCAGTTGATACGATGAACACAGAGCTGTTGCCTTTATTTTTCCGTGATTTGGCCAACGAAGGCCTTCTGAAAACGGGTGATCGAGCTGTTTTCCTCAGCAACGGCAACGAGGAAGCCATTGATGATTCTCAATTTCTGAGAGATAATGAGATGGATTTGATATCGTATTCGGATTCAGAGCGACAAAGCTTGATCCCTGATGAGACTTTTGACTTTGCTTTAACCCATGGCTTCCATGGGGACTCGAAATTCATCGACCGGGCTCTCAAGGTTGGTGGCATCGCTGCGATCCAACTCAGTGACAACCCTATGGTGGCATTTCAGAAGCCTTCCAACTACAAAATTGTCTATCTCCGAAAATTCGATTCAACCCTTGTGGCCATGCGGAAAACAAGCAATGGTGACACAAATTCACCAACACAACGGAAACTCTGTGGTCTTGCATCGGAAGCAAAGAAGGCAGCTCTGAAGAAGCTCGAGGACGTTCTCCTCGAACCACCAAGAGCAGCATCAGGGAGATCAAACACATACCTCAAGAAAACCAGGTACCTACCGGACCTAATGGGCGACTCTCTCGAAAGCTACCCACGACGAGTCTTCATCAACGTTGGCTTGCCAGACAAAAACGATTGGTTCGCAAAGCATTACCCAACTAGAAATAAGGATTTTGAGATATACAAGATTGAAACTGTGACAGAGGAATCATCCGGGAGGGAGGTACCACAGATTGGGATGTCGGATTGGCTGGGGAAGACCGTGAAAGAAAATGAGTACGTCGTGATGAAGGCAGAGGCTGAAGTGGTGGAGGAGATGATGAAGAGCAAATCTATAAGACTGGTGGACGAGCTGTTCTTGGAGTGTAAGCATCAAGGTATAAAGAAGGGTGGCAGAAGAAACAGGAGAGCATATTGGGAGTGCTTAGCTCTTTATGGGAGGTTGAGGGATGAGGGTGTTGCTGTGCACCAGTGGTGGGGTTAGAACAGAAAGTAGTTCACAGAGAGAGAGAGAGAGAGAAGGGCAGAGAGAGGTGACCATGTCCACAACAGTGTCCTATATTTAAATATCTGTGTTTTATGCACTTGCTGTTTTTCAATGTTTGGGTTTTGGGTTGTTCTTGATGATGTTTCTAAAGAGATAGGAGATAATGATAGTCATAAGAATATGGAGGGGTGTATCCAGAGTGTAGGAGTGATACTCTTGTAATAACACAATATTGACTGCTTCCTTTTCAGAAATTAATTTCTTAAGTAATATTCAGGTGCAAAATTTGAATCTTGAACACTAAAATCTCATGTTTGGAAGGGTTAATTTGGGGTATACTGATCTCAAACTTTCATCAGCTTTGGCCAAGTTCAACCATAAATTGCTAATTTCACTAAATCTCACTGGGCTGTAATGGATATCATTCTTAAGCTAATGATAAATAACTGAACTTGATCTAAATTGATAACATTTAGAATGGAAAGATCCAACTTCTTTGAATCAGACCTTGAGGTCACGGAAGTCAGCAAAATATGAGTTAGACTGGAGTTAGGAAAATCAAATATCTGTAGAACACAATGTGGGATGCAATAAAAACTTCAATGCCGAGAATCAAGCATTGCATATATGTGTGAGTGTGTATATGTGCCCATCAGCCCATGCATTTACAAATTGAGCGAAAAGGAAGACGGTATACATACTAGACACATGGACTTGGGCATAATATTTCAGAGAACTTGTTAACCTCATAAGTACATCTTCAATGAAATGTAGTCGTAGAAAATGAAACTACACCCCACAAGAAAGTTTTAAGCAGGCCAATTCACCATAGATAAGAGGGTTTTACAAATGGTTTAAAGAAGAGTTCTTGTCAACTTATCACAGCTAATCCTGTTTAACCCCCATGCTGCATTCCAGCCGTACCCAGTTTTCACTTAATTTAAGCAAAATTGGAACCAAATTACATCACCGAGCCTTCTCAAATTTCATGTGATCTTCTATTTAACGGGCCTATGTCTCCAGAAAAAGAATAATATTCAAATATCCTAGCATCCTATGAGCCAAACTGAACCAATCTCAAATTTCGCACCAGCAAAGTTAAAAATTGCTGATAAAAAAAAGAAGTTAAAAAAGGGCAGAAAATCACAGAAAAAAAAAGGAGAAAGGAGGAAGAGAAGGGGGGGGCTCCACCGTGAAAAAAGTAAGTAATGAAGAAAGTGCATAAGTGAGATACGGACTATTTCAAACCCAAAAAAAGGAATGTTTTTTCCCTGGCAATAAATAAATTTTGAAAAGGCAACCAAATGACTGAAGCTCTCGCTGCCACTCAAATTCTATTCAAGTTAATAACCATCGATATTTATTACTAAAATAGATCATGAGTTTTTTCTAGTTTGCAAACCAAATCACAACTAGAGATAGAGAGGAGCCACATAAGAAAAACCCCACTCTCAACAAAAGAATCAAACAATCAATATTCTGATCAATACAGACAATGCAAAAAAGACAAATAGCACAAATGGAGAATATTCACACCCAGAATTTGGCTCCAGGTCTGCTTGCAGAAGAGACTAATGATGCAGGCATAGCTGGTCAGATGGTACCTGTGGTACAAAGACTTGCACCCCAATCAATACTGGCCGCACACAACAAAAGCACGCCATCAACAGAACATGATTTGGTCATTGTCATATTGAATAACGGCTACCCGGAAGCTAAGCAATCACATATCACACAAAGTGAGTGTTGCAGATACAAGCATCGGACAATGGCATGCTAAGATCAAAGTTTCAATAACCTAAAGTGACATAAAAACTTATAAGACAAGACATATCTGCAGAGATATATTGCTACATATTCACATACCTACAGAATGAATCTTTAAGCAACGAAGTGGAAACTATACTGTGAAACACTGCTTAAGAAAGAATACCAAGATACATACCGACAGTAGATTCTTAAGTGCCTTTCACTATCATAACCGGGCATTGTGCATGGTTAGAACAGTAGTTGCTTACACTTCCCAGAAACATCCTGTTTGGATTCAACAAACCATGAGGTGTAATTCACTGAAAAGAGCACACCAAGGCATAGAAGTTTGATGATCAGAAAAAAGGAATCAATATCTGAGTTATGTTAATTTGAGTTCATGTTCATGTCAAGTATATACTTTTAAAGTAGAGCAGTTTCACACTGCAGGTCATCTCAATATCAGTAGTTTTCAAAAAAATGTCTTTAAACAAAGTGAAACCCTCACCACTAATTACTCTTGGCACTTATTTGTGCGAGCCAATATAGTGGTCCATTGATTTGTGAAATTGCCACAAAAGACACGATTGCAAAATAATAACATAATTAACAAGTTTTATGTGACTAGAATAACTACTTTCATGGTACGGGGGCCAATCTAGTGCCCAATTCTTCTTCAATGGCCACATCTGTGGTGATAATATGATACATTCCAATGCTATATAAATATACAATCAAAGCATTCAATCCATTGAAAATCATCAAAAATGCATGAAATTGTCAATATATTACTTTCTAATCGGGAGTTGTACCTTTTAATAGGTCCGAAAGCACGGCATCCCATCACAAGCAAATCGGCGTGCAAATCCTCCACAACTTCACATATGTTCTCCTTTGGATCCCCAATTACAACTTGTGTTTTAACTGTCACCTAATATAGAAGAATCAATCCGCCACTAAGAACAGTAAAAGCATGATAAAACAATAAATATACGTAGAATTTTGTGGTATAATAGAAACGGTCAAATTAATAACAACTAAATGTGTAACTTCACCACACGCACACACGTACACGCATACGCATAGAGAAAGAGAGAGAGTAAACCCTAACATGTTTATCAGAGCAAATCTGAAGAGCGTGAGCCAAAATAGCCTCAGTGATGCGCCGCTGGTGCGCCTCAATCGCCGCTGTGAACGCAGGCACTTCCAAATCACCTTGATCACAAAATTTAATATAATCTCAGAGTTTAATCAACTCAACCAACGTAAAATTAATTCAAATAATCTCAAAGAGACGATCCTTGTAAATACTAATTGGAAAGAAGAATGAACACTGGTGTATAGACTTAACTGGGACCACCGAAAGGGATGGCACCGGGATTGAGGCCGGCGGCTATGGACGGCGGGGATTGAACGTGGAGGATCACGAACGAACCTTCATCGGTGTCGGAAGCAGCAGATCGGAGCTTGAGATTGTCGAGTGCCCATCTCAGGCCGTTCATGCTCTCTTCGCTGCCATCGACGGCCACAAGCACGCACCCCAGCGTTCCAGACATGGTTTGGTCAAACACGTCTCTCTATGTCTCTCCCCTCTCTCTCTCACACACTCTTTCACTCTCTTTATATTCGTAGACTCACTCTTTCGTCTTTCCTAAGGGTGGAAGTGGTTTTTATTTTCAGGCAAAACAACAACCGTTAGCGATGGTCCATTTTTNTCTTTCGTCTTTCCTAAGGGTGGAAGTGGTTTTTATTTTCAGGCAAAACAACAACCGTTAGCGATGGTCCATTTTTATTTTTTTTGGGAAAATTGTGGGATAATACATTTTTTTAACAATATTTCTGGAAAAATTTATTACCCAAAACTTTTAAGTTTGTAAGCATATTTTTTATAAAATATTTGGTAAATAAGTACATAATTTCAACTTTTTATATTTTAGCAGTACATAAATACCTTTTGCTTATTTTAGGCAAGTAGTTCCTTTTTTTTTTTTTTT